CCAGTAGCACCAGTGCCTCCAGTACCAGTACCTCTAGCACGGTCAACTCCAGAAACACCAGCACTAGCACCTCCAGATCCAGTACCTCCAGGACCTCCAGCTCTAGTACGTCCAGCGCCGCCACTAAGGCTGCCCCAACGGACAGCCTACTGGCGAAGCCGCTCCGGCGAGAGAGTCTCCTACCGACGTGCAACAACACCACCAGCACCAGCACCACCAGCACCTCCACCTGCAGAACCTCCAGCGGCAGCACCTCCAGCACCCCCTGCACTTGTAGGACTCGCAGCACCCCCAGAGCCAGCACCCCCAGAGTCCGCACCCCCACCTCCAGCAGCACCAGAGTCCACAGCGATGGGCCGCATAGGGGGTGAAGACGGTCGAGGCGGAAAACCAGGAGGGACCGACAAGCGCGCGGAGCGGCGAGGGGCCACGGTGTCGGCATCAGTCTGGTCACCCCCCTCAGCTGGGCCAGAGGTGTCTGAGGAGACCTCCAAAGGCTCAACCAAGGGGGGTGGGTCTACCTGAGACACACCTGAGGGAGCGGGACCGGGAGGAGGGAGGGGGGCTACCGGGGGGGTGTCGGCCACCAGGGAGAGAGGCGGGCAGGGTACCGGGGAACTGCGGTGAGGGTGAAGACGGTAGAAGCAGACGGACTCGTCAAAGGTGACGTCGCGGGAGGACAGCACACGACGAGAGCCCGGGTGGTAAAACTGCCAGGGCGGTGCGTCGGTGGGAAAGCCAAGGAACACGCACCGAAGAGTGCGTGGAGAGAGCTTGCCCGCGGGCAAATCGCGGACAAGAGAGAGGGAACCCCAGACCCGAAACGCCGACGCATCACCAACATCGCCCGTCCACCGTAAAGTAGGGGAGGTCTCCGGGTGGGAGACACGGGGCCAGAGGTTGAGCTGCTCAGCGGCGTATCGGACCGCAAACGGCCACAGAAAATGGGGAGCAGCCGCATGGATCATGGAGGTGCGAGCAACCTCCATGACCAGACCAATGCGGCGCTCGGCAATCCCATTTTGCTGTGGAGAGGCCGGAAGCGTGTACGAATGGACGATGCCCTCAACACCACAGAAATCCTCGAGGAGGCGGGAGGAAAACTCACCACCTCGGTCAGAGTGCAGCCGCAGGACTGGGAGGTCCTGACGGAACCAAGCGCGAAGCTGGAGATGGACAGCGCGGATCCAGCGGATCAATACACCGCGGACATCCGCCTTGCTCTGCAAGGGGAAGACCGTGGTGTAGCGCGTGTAGTCGTCTACAACCAGCAGAAAGAAGCGCTCGCCACCCTGTCCAGTGACGCGGGCGGGGCCCCACACGTCCATGTGCAGGGTCTGCAGAGGAGCAGTGGTAGGAGGAAACGAGGAGGAGTGAGGAGCGGCGCGCTGCCGCCTCTCGACGCAGGGAAGGCAGGGCGGTGCAAGCGACCTCGGAAGCGGGGGCAGGGACCTGGGGAGACCAGACACAAGGAGACGGGAGTGCATGCCACGCAGGCGTGGCAAGGAGGGGTGGGCAAGACGGTGGTGCCAGAGGAGAGTCTGGTGCGTAAGGAGGCGACACGAACAAGACACAGCGACCTCAACCGACGCAGCTGACTCAGCTACCAGTGCAGACTCAGTGGTCAGTATGTACAGGCCAGACCCAGGCCTCCGAGTGAACGTGGCGAGGTGCTCACCAGTGCGCGAGTCCGTACAGATCGCCACTAGCTCGCCTCCATGCTGGGTGACATTGACCCACTGGTCCTGGAGGACAGAGGTAGCCACCAAGTTCTTAGAGAACGAGGGGAGGTGGAGACCTGTGAGGAGGCCGGAAGGGGCCGCCGGACAAGGGAGAACAGTAGCGCCACGCGCGACTACCGGGCCCCCGGAGGGGTCGGCCAGTGTGACAGGGACAGGGGCTGTGAGCGGTGTGACTGTGGTGCTGTCGCGGAAGAAGCAACGAGGCGCGCCTGAGTCGAGAGTAAAAGTGTGCAAGGCCTCCTCAGGCTCTGCACCTGTGCTAGCTGAGTCAAAAGCACCAAGACTAGCAGCCTCTACCCTAGCAACTCTAGGCACACACGAGTAATAGTCATCCTCAACACTAGCAGAAGTAGCATACATCGCATACATGCCAGCATGGATCACAGCCCTGTCACAAGCAAAAACATATACGTCCTTCTTCAGCAAGGCGAGGGAGTCGTCATGTGCTCACCATGCTCCGCACGATACAGCTCGTCGAGGCGAAAGAAGCAACGAGACACGGTGTGGTCGGTGCGAGTGCAGGTCGCTCTAGGCTGACCTGTGCGACGGACGTACCCGCAGCGAGCTGGGCCAACTGAGCTGCCACGTCGGATCGCCCACTCACGCAGCTGCTGCGGCGAGAGCTGCGCCTGGCGGCTCGGCTGCTACTGCTGGCCACCCCCAGAGCCACCTCCACCCCCCCCTGCACCACCAGACGCAGCTGAACGAGTGGCCGGACCTCCAGCCCCTTCTCCTCAAGCTCCACCCCTAGTGCCACCCCCACCCCCTCCACCACCCTCACTACTCCCACCACCCCCTCCTCCTCCCCTGCCGCCTCCACCTCCTCCTCCGCCACCACCACCACCTCCACCGCCACCACCGCTGCCCCCACCACCCCCACCACTCCCGCCACCCCCACCCTTGCCACCCTTGCCCTTACCGCTGCGGCGCCTCCCACTAGGAGCAGACGCAACACCGACCTCCTCAGCACCGAAGAGGTCAACAGCAGCAGCAGAGGCAACAGACGGCGTGAGCAGGGAGGGGGAGCACCCCTCAAAGACAGAGGGGAGGGGAGTGCACCGAAAGGCAGCGACAACTAGGGCAGCAGACTCAGCCTCTAAGAGACGGGACTCAAACGAGGCGAGGGTGATCTTCGTGGGGTCTAGAGCGAGGAAGTGGTCGCGTACAGCACAAAGGGAGTCAGGGAGGCGGGTCGTGAGAAAGTAAAGGGTGAGATAAATGGGTCGCTTATTCTCAGCACTAAAGGCGGGCTCGAGGGCTGCAGCGTAGCGGGTCTCAAGGGAGCGCAGGTGAGTCAGGAGGTCGGCTACAGTGGTGAAGTCCGACATCTCGGGAAAGAGGAACGGCAGCGCCAGACGGCCTACAGTGGCAGACGACGGGGACGAGTAGCGCGTGACTACAGCGTCGTAAAGCGCCTTGGCCGTCTTAAGCTGGCGAAAGTGGGAGCGCTGGTCTAGCGGAAGGTGGCTACGGACAGCAAGAGCGGCAGTAGCGTCACGAGAAGTCCACTTGGACCGGTCTACACGAGTAGCTGAGTCAGGAGGGACATCGAGGGACCCCGAGGTATGCTCATAGAGAGAGACATCTTCCCTAGTCTGGCTCTGCAGGTACTAGTGGAGATCCTCTAGCCAGGACTCGAAGTCTACCGGGTGGCCCTCTCCGTCAAAGGTGAGAACAGTAGGGGTCGCCATAGCAGTAGAACGGTAGTGGCAGCAGCAGCAGCAACAGTGGTAGCAGTAGCACCAGTAAGGAGCGGCTCAATAGGGCGGCTCGGTTTGGGCGCCTCGGCAGGGCGGCTCGACCGGGCGGCTCGGTTTGGCGGCTCGGCTCGGCGGCTCGCAGGCAGCAGCAGCAGGCGCGTTAGCCGGCGGTGCAAGCAGCAGCAGCAGGCGCGCAAGCAGGGCAGGGCAGGGCGCGAGCTAGCGGTGCAGCAGTGCAGCAGGGGCAGGGCAGGGGCGTGAGCGGGCGGCGCAGGGCAATGCGCGGGTGGCTCAGGCAGGGCGCACTCAGGCAGCGCAGGCAATGCAGCGCGCAGGGCAGCGGGCGGCGGGCTAGCAGCGAGCAGGCAGCGCGGGCGGCACAAGGCAGCGCGGGCAGCGTGCGGGCCGCGCGAGCAGCGGGCGAGCTGCGTGCGGGCAGCGTGCAAGCAGCGCGGGCAGCGCGCGGGCAGCGTGCGGGCAGCAGGCGGGCGGCGCGAGCAGCAGGCGGGCAGCGCGAGCAGCAGGTGGCCGGGCGCACTAGGCAGCGCGACAGCGCGCGGTTTTGGGCAGGCAGCGCGGTAGCGTGCGGGGCAGGGCAGGGCAGCAGCGCGACGGCGCGCTGGTCAGGGCAGAAACGACGGGCCGGGCAGGGAAAAAAGCGACTGCCGGGCAGAACGGAACGAATACGGTGGGCCCCAAAGATCGGTCCTAACCGGGACTTACTCTGAAACCATGTCAGAATCCCAACCACTAGACCATTGGGATAAAATGGCTTGTTTGAGTAGCGGGTGAGTGTGCCCATAACCCCCCAGGCTAACATGCCTGTAACCCCCCCTATGATCAATCGGGGATCTCACAGTGCAGCTCTACTGACAAAGGTGTGCCGTAGTAGATTGCTTAGAATCCAAGACATCATACGGTAGTGGTATCCTGAAACCTCATGCCAGATACACAGTACATTGGTTGGCTGAATGAATCTCCGGGCTGAGCCGATCCCGAAGCACGCTTGAGAATTTTCCCTGATACCATATGATAGTTGAGGGCCTGTTCTGTACAATAATCAATGTAAATGTACTGATCGCAACCTATCATGCCTTTCCTCATCCTACATGCAAGAGCATAAACTTCTACTGTATCACACGGCTCATGTTTCTCCTTGGTAAAAAACTCTAGTTGCGTTTAATGGGTGTGGAAAAGGCATAGATTGCCCAAAGCGGGGTGTTGATGGTGCTGAAGGCTGCGATGGAGCCAAGTGCTCATTTCTCGAGAGCCAAGAGCTGATGGCTGATGCTGACTGGACCGTTGACGTGGCTGGCTGGATGCTCAGAGGTAGCAAAGTATCGGTGATTGGGCTAGAAGGAAGTGAGGGTGCAGCATCAGGATCAGGAATCTCTGATGCCATGTTGATCCAGTCTTCAGATCCTATCGATGACGCCCAGGCAAGGCCACTCCTGCATGACATTGGCACCACGTTAGGCAGGCAGAAAGAGGTGGGGTTCTTAACTCAAATGAGTGAATAATATGATGTCTTGAGAAGCCAACGAGGAATGGAGGAATCTCACCCTCCGCATTTCTTGTGTTCGACTGCAATGCTGCTGGCACTTGATCTGGAAAGGGCCCGCCCCCAGTTGGTACTGGGAGACACATTGATGCTCGTGCCAAACGCGTTCTGATACATGCCCTTCAGCCCCTCCCCTCTGCTGTGCCGAATGTTCACATCGCGCATTGTGATCTTCCCACATGGCACTCTGTCACTGCATGCGAACTGGATGCCGCCACTGCTGGAGTAGTTGGTTGTGCCGGAGATGCTCTTATAGGAGATATCAAACACCGCCAGGTTCTCTGGGTGGCCAGCACAGGGCTTCCTCTCACAGTAAAACTGTTGTGTGTGATGGGCAGGGAAACATACACAAAGCAGCACAGAAAATCAGCACAGCGGGTCCGTAATAGGGAGGTTGTGAGCAGGGAGAAAGTGCGAGGCATGAAGCAAAGGAGGGCGATGTGTGAAGATAGAATTGTGTGAACATACCTGGTTGATGACGATGGGGATGCTCACGTCCCGCATCCTGATGTTCTCATATCGAATGCCATGCACCGTGCCCTGCCCGCCCTGGTACGTCTTGATGCGCAGCCCGTTCTGCAGCCCCACCAGCACTGCATCCTGCACCGTCACGCCCGACACACATGCCAGCTCGTGCTCCTTGCCCAGACTCCCAATGCTGCTCCATCAGCACGGCAGGATGGGAGGCGGGCGACAGGGAAGAGTTTAAGGTGGCGCCTGGAAATGGATAAGGTGGCCATGCATTCTCGATGCCATGCCTTCTTGATGCCATGCATTCTCGATGCCATGAATTTCTGATGCCATGCATGGTGCCATCCATCCCTCCCTGATGCCATGCATCCCTGATGCCATGCATCCCTGATGCCATGCATCCCTGATGCCATGCATCCCTGATGCCATGCATCCCTGATGGCTTGCATCCCTGATGGCTTGCATCCCTGATGGCTTGCATCCCTGATCCCAGGCATACTACATCCGTACTTAATATCATCGGGCCTGACCAGGTCCATACCTGATGCCATGGCCAGCAGTGCAGAGCACATCACGGATGATGATGTTGGAGGAGGAGCCAACAATCGACACGTTGTCGTCGCCTGCTCAGGCACAACGCGAGGCCATCCACACAGCCACACGGAGACCAGATGGTTTGTGTGTGTTGAACGCAGTGTGTGAGAACGGACGGCAATGCAGTATGGTAGCAGTGCGAGGCAGCACACAGCAGGGACAGGGGCGAATCTTCGCTTGCCCACATCACAGCCCCGCGCGCCATGCCGTTTTCATGTCCACAATCCCATGCAATCTCCTTCCATGCCCCCCCCTCAGCTGGTGCCCCGCCAGCACCACCCTGCCCTCCACAACCCAGCGATTCCTGTCCCCTCACCCCACAGCCTGTCCCCTTAACCCACTCCCTTGCGCGCCTCACCGCCGTGCAGCGTGCAGTTCTCGACGACGACGTTTTTGACGACGCCGAGGTGCACGGAGTCGGTGTTGGGGCTGTTGTAGGGGCTGTCCGTGGTGAAGTCGTGGATCCACACGTTGCTGCTGTACACCACGCTCAGATGCATCATTGGCGGGTTCCTGCCATGCCAAGGGACCACGCACACCCAGCAATGCCACACAACGCGGACAGGGGGGGTGTGATTGATGCAATGCTGCTCAAAGGTGGGCGGGTGGGAGGGAGGGTCACGCTTGGGCAGAAGAGGGAGTACTTGTTGCTGTACGGACGGTAAGCGGTTTCAGCAGCAACAATGCCATGGCAGCAGCAGCAGAACTCTTCAAAATTGGGGCAGGAAAACGAATGCAAAAACATCGCAAGAGAATTGAGAAAGACACAAACGAGTACACCAGCTCCTTGCCAATCGGCTCGTTCACTGCTACGGGGACAGACAATGCGGAAAGGGTAGGAAAGGTAGGAAAGGTAAGCACTGTGTAATTTGAGTGTTCTGACAATTGACAATGTCCATGGGTGGGGCAAGGCGAGTTTTGCGCATGGTTTCGGAGGTCCCACATTTTGTAGAGAAGCAGCAACTCACTTGAGCGTGATGCCGGAGACCTCCACCCCCTCGCACAGCTTCGCTTCCAGCAAGTACGGCCTATGCGACCCATGCCCCCACACCACCTGCCCCCCGCCGTCGATCACGCCCGACCCCGCGATCACCAGCCGTTTGATCTTCTGGAAGCTGAAGATGGGGTTTTCCGCCAGCACGCCGCGCGGGTACACGGACAAGCGCGCGTCCACGCGGACCAGCAGCCCCGCGCCCCTGCACGGCCCCTTCCACACGAAGTTCTTCGACCGCACGAAGAACGTGTATCCGCGCGGGAACAGCAGCGTCGCGCGCGCCGGGCTGGTGCCGCTGTACCTGCACGCGGCGAGGAACGCTTGGTTCATTGCGCCGCTGTCGTCTGTCGTGCCGTCGCCCACGGCGCCGAATTCGCGCACGTCGTAGATGCCGTCCTTGGGAGCGGGGTCCGGCGGCGGGGAGCGTCGGGGCGGTGGCGGGGAGCGCCGCACGTACGGGGGAGGGGATCGGCGCCTTGGCGGCGGAGAGCGTCGGCGATGGGGAGGCGGGGAGCGGCGGCGACGCGGAGGTGGGGAACGACGCCTTCGAGGCGGCGGTCTGCGGCGGGGGGGCGGGGAGGCGCGCGGGGGAAGCGGAGGAGCCACGGGTTTCGGGGGAGGGGGACTGCGGCGCCGAGGGGGAGGCTTGTGCCTCTTGGGAGGCGGAGGGTGGCGGCGGAAGATTGGGGGGAAACGCCTGGGAGGTGGATGGTGCTTCTTTGGAGGGGGACTGCGCGGTAGCGTAGGCGTGGTTCTCGAGGGCGGCGGGCGGGGAGGGGGGGAGCGAGGAGGGGGGCGAGGAGGAGGGGGAGACGGAGGAGGACGGGGAGGCGGTGATGGCGGAGGTGGACGGGGTGGAGGGGATGGAACGATTAGCGGAGGAGACGGCGGTGGCGGAGCAGGCGGGGGGAATGGCGGAGGAGGACTTGGTGGCGGTAGGGCGTCTGGCGGTGGCGGGGGGGGCGGGGGAGGCGGGGGTGGCGAGTCAGCGAGTGTGCCGGCGGAAGTGGTGCTTTCGAAGCCAGAAAAGAGCTCTGCGGAAGGTGGTGGGGGACCCGGGAGGGGAGCGGAAGGGGGCGGAGGAGGGGGAATAGCGGCCCGAGGGGGCGGAGGGGATGGCAACAATGTTGCACCGCTAGGTTTGGTCGGGCGAACGGGACGGCGGAAGGGTAGGAGGAAGGAGAAGAGAAAGCGGCGGAGGAAGTGGTCGGGGGCAGGGGCGGGGGGAGGGGGCGGGGGAGGGGGAACGGGAGGGGGAGGGGGAGGCGCAGGGGGAGGGGGGAGGGGATGGGGAGAGGGAGGAAGAGGGGGAGCGGAGTGCATTGTGGGAAGGGCAGGCGTGGGGGAAGGTGCGGGGATAGGAGGCGGATACAGCGACGGAGGATGCGGCGGTGGCGGCACCGGCACTAGACCTAGCGGTGGGCATGTAGCGGCCGCGGGAACGAACGGAGACGGATCTAAAAAGAATTCCCCAGCCTCGTGGCCTGCATCGGCTGCCTCGCCGGACCTGGCAACGAGGAGGTTCGGTTTGCCGTTCGAGGTGAATGCGGACGGGTGGACGTCCGGCAGCGGCTTGAAGGGGTAGAGCAGGTGCAGATCCGAGGAGTTGAGCGGGCACGCCGTTGCGTTGAACGCCCACGCCTGATTCTGCGCCGACCCACTATGGGAGATCCGCGCTGGCTGTGGCGGCTGCTCCCGCACTCGGTGCCTGGCGCCGCTGTGCAAAACCACGCGGCGCGAGAGGCGCGGAGTGGGGGAGAGGGGCTCCGGGTGGTTGCGAACGGTCCGCGGGCCCACGCCGATGGTCGGCTGGTGCACGCGGCGCGCGGCGGTAAGGTTTGACGGGAGCGAATGGTTGAAAAGCGGAGGGCGGAGGATTAGAGAGTCGGCGAAAGGCACTGGGGAGGAACGGCTGCGGAGCGAGCAGTTGGGGATTCGAGTGTGCACGCAATGCGGGGGGGCATAGAAGCAAGCGGGGAGAGGGGAGCAAGCGGCGAGAGGCAATGGCCTATCGGCGTGCCATACGCAGTGGTCGATGGTGCACGGATCGCCATCGTCACATGCCGCTGTTGGGATTGGGGAAAAAAGAATGGGGCGATGGCGAATATGTGAGCGTGACGCAGAACAGCAGACGCCTTGTACAAGTAAAGCATGTCCCAACGACTTCACATTGGCACACGAGTCCTTGCAAACATTTTAGGAGCAGTGCTCCTAACAAACAGCGACCGTGAGGCTCTCACCTGGTCGGACGACGGCAATGTCACACGACGAAGTGAGCAGGAAGCGGCAGTCGCCTGATAGCCCCGTGCTGCCCTCCGCGGGTGCCCAGGCGTCTTCCAGATTCAGCAAAGGACTGACGGCCGGGATGGCGCACAAACAAGGTGAAACGGAGCAGCGGTTGAATCACGCGCGCAGCCAACGGTACTAGAAACAGTTGGATCATATTAGGTGAAGCGCCACTGGCCGTGAAACACATCTAGTAAAGACCCAAATCCATGGTTATATCTATGCTGGGTACTAGAAGGAGAAGTTACTACTCCGTGTGCGCACCTGACAGGATTCACGTCGATCTTTCTGAACAGTTCGCCCACGACGTCAAACACGCACGCTTCCGTCGGCGGGTCTGCGCTTATTACCTCGCCGTCGCTGTTTCGCTCGTGTGGAGGCACGGGTTCGCCTAAAAGCTCTAGTTCTCGAGCCTCTGCGTAGCTCACTCGGTCCCGCAGCGAGCTGCTGCGGTGAACGGCGGAAACCACGCGCGGTCCGCATGCTAGCAGCGTGAGCAGCGCACATAGGAGAGGCAGACTGTGCTGTAACCGGACGACAACCTGCATTGTGCTGCACAGTCAGCTCGGCTGGTGGTGTGTCTGCTCGGTGTTTTCCACGACATCTCCGACGTGTATACCGTCACTCCATCCCAAAAAGGGTCACTCAAATGAACATTGACCCTACATACAAGCTACAATGTACATTCAAAATCGGTACTTCAAAGCCCCGGAGTATGTGATCGAAAACACTACTTCACAGGGCACAGCGTTCCTGATATCGTTGAGACAGACGGTCTAGTCTGGCAGTTCAGTAGTCCTTCACGCCAATGTAGTGCGTAGACAAAAACTCCATATGGAACGAGGACATAACATTGGACCAGAGCGACGCTCCTCTCATGTGTAGAGATGGAAGGAACCCATATCCATTTGCACCATCCCACAACAGAGGAGGGCTTCTGGGCTGGGCATGTAGCTGGACCTCCACATGGTTGTACAGCAACTCATGTCTCCGACAGAATTCCAATTCGATTACAAAACGTGTCTCCGCCGTGGAGTCCTCCAATCGAATTTGAATCTTGTGTGTGGCAGGCACACACGCGCGCCGCACCTGTCTCGGAAGAATCCAGGGGGAGGCTGAAACCAGGGCTGTTGACTGGTCCGCCGAGACGTTTGGCAACAATGGCGCGAAACATACGCTTTTGCAAGGTGCAACTATGCTGCTGCGTGTCAGAGGGAAGGCGAGTATTGGCGAGGTGGCGATACTTCTGAAGCGGAATTTGCTCAAAGATATCTGCCACCGTGGAAGCAGAAGCTAGTCGCCAGGTGTACACTGCACAAGTGTGAAAGGAAGTGTAGTAAACTGGTCCAAATCTTACATACGGGACGCCATAGCTTGCTGTTTTGGTTGAAACGAAGGTGCATGTAGTGCAAATTTACCCAAGATGCATGGAAACAGCTTGTGATTGCATCTTGCCAATTATAATGTACTGAGAGCAATAGAAACTATAATGCATATGATACAGGAGAGGAGAACCAGTTTCGGGTAACATTTTTACAACCAGCTCTGCATCCCATTTTCGTGGCACCACACTGAACCGCATGCAACCTTGCAGATTAAGAATTACCCTGTAGTAGAGGTATTACACACGAGCTTGTATGGCTGAAGCCTGATATGGTACTCCCTGTTCTTCTGCTCCACGGGAGAAGGTAGAGTGAGATTCTCGAAAGCAGAGGGTTGGTTGCACATAGTGGGGGGCGGGCATCAACTGGTGAAGTCGAATGAGGAGCTGGGGGATGCCCAGCCGAGCCCTTTGGGTCCGAGGAACAATGCCCACCACAGCCTGCCCACACATATTGGCACGCATGAACCACGTGAGGAAGAAGAATGGCAGAGTGGTGTAGATTGAGGACAACATGGATAATTTCACAAGCAGACATCAGGCAGCATGGACAGATACAAAGCCCAATGCTCAGGATGCAGCGTGTCAGGTCAACGCCTCCAGTCCCCATGCTCCCCCGTGCCAAAACATACCCGCCACACTTTCTGTACTCATTTGCGACTGCAAACGCCTTGCTCCGCGACAGCTTTCCCTTCTTCCAAGCTGACGTGCTTATGCCTGGCACCACGGCCTTGCTGCTGCCATAGGCATTCAGCAAGATGGGCGAGAGCGTCGTGTTGCTCCGCGAGTGCTGTATTCGCACATTGCGCATTGAGATACGCCCGCACGGTGTGCGTGGGCTGCACGCGAGCTTGATGCCCCCGCTACGCGTGTAGTTAGTGGTGCCGTAGATGTTCTTGTAGTGAATGTCAAACACCGCCAACGAGCCAGGTTTGGCAGAGCAGGGCTGTCTCTCGCAGTAGTACTGATGGAGTGCATGGAGGCCATTAGGAAAGGGGACAGGAGTATGACAGGGGGGAGGGTGACCGCAATGAAAATTATTTAACGACTGAAGGCTGCAGGTAGTGATAAAGGCAAGCTGAAGCAGCTGACGAGCAGAGCCAATGGTATAGCAAAGAGCAGGGATGGTCTCCAGTGCCAGAGAAAGAGAATACGTTGCTGCCCAGCGACACCAAGGATACGGTAAGCGGGAAGGCACGAGAGCAAGTGGTACGTGGGAGAGGTGAGAGGTGAGTACCTGGTCGATGAGAATGGGGTAGGTGACGTCTGTCATGCGCACGTTGGTGTAGCGCACGTTGTGCACGGCGCCCTCACCCCCCCGGTACGTCTTGATGCGCAGCCCCGTCTGCAGCCCCACCAGCTGCACGTTCTTCACCCGCACGTTCGACACACACCCACGCCTCGGCCTGCTGCCCAGGCTGCCGATGCTGCCACACGTGCACACGCGTTCAGAGAGGCGAGGGCAGGCGGCAGGAGTGGGTGGGGGCCGTGGGAGGTGGGGAAGACAGGTGAGGGTTGTGAGGAACCGCAACTCACTGAGACAAGCGCCAGCGCCCACCAGATGGCCTGCTCACCTGATGCCATGCATACTCTATTCATGCTTGATACTGCTGGGTGCAATCCTGATGCCATGCACACCTGATGCCATGCATACCTGATGCCATGCATACTTTATTCATGCTTGATACTGCTGGGTGCAATCCTGATGCCATGCACACCTGATGCCATGCATACCTGATGCCATGCATACCTGATGCCATGCATACATGATGCCATGCATACATGATGCCATGCACACCTGATGCCATGCACACCTGATGCGATGCACACCTGATGCCATGCACACCTGATGCCATGCACACCTGATGCCATGCACACCTGATGCCATGCATACCTGATGCCATGGCCAGCAGTGCAGAGCACGTCGCGGATGATGATGTTGGAGGAGGAGCCCTTGATGGACACGTTGTCGTCGCCTGCTCATGCGCGCACGGGCAAGGGGGAGGCGCAACTTGAGCTGTGAACGGTCGAGGCGAGGCGAGACAGAGAGCGAGCAGAGTGACGCGTACGGCGCGTTTCAAGCCAGGGCAGCGAGGCCGTTCCACTGTGCCAGGGCGAGTGCACCCACCTCCCTGCACACCCGTGAGTGTACCCCCCGTGACTGCACACTGACCGCCGTGCAGCGTGCAGTTCTCGACGACGACGGCGGAGCTGGAGGCGATGTGGATGGAGTCGGTGTTGGGGCTGTTGTACGGGCTCGCCGTGCTGAACGCGTGGATGCGCACGCCCGCGCAGTACTTGATGCTCAGATGCATCATCGGCGGGTTGCTGCGGGCGCCACCAGCGGGGAGGGGGGAGAGAAGGGATGTGAGTGAGTATGCGTGCGTGTGTACGTGTGTTCGTTCGTCACATCTGCCATGTGCCTGGCCAGACCACTCACCCTGTGACCCCAGCATATCTCTATCCCGCGGGCATCCATCACCCCATCCCGTGCCGCACTCACACGAGCGTGATCCCCGTCACCTCCACGTGGCTGCTCTTCACGATCTCCACCAGGTACGGCCGCTTCGACGCGCGCCCCCACACGGCCTGCCCGCCGCCGTCGATCACGCCGCGACCGGCGAGGACGAGGTAGCGCAGGTTGTGGAGCGCAATGATGGGCGTCAGCGGGGAGACGCCCTTGGGATCCACGGATATCGTCCCGTCCACCTGGGGGGCGCGGCGCACGGGGAGCAGGGCACAGACGGAGTAAGCCGCGCGGAACATGGGCGCAGGCGCGTGGCGCGCAGCATTGGGGAATGGAGCATGATGACGTGGCGCACGACGTGATGAGTCCCGCCCTCACCTGCACCCGCAGCCCCTGCCCGTTGCAGGGCCCTTTCCACTCTACGGACCGCGACTTGATGAAGAAGTTAAGGCCCTGCGGAAACAGCAGTGTCGCGCGCGGCGGGTAGAGCGCGAAGTAGCTGCAGGCGGCGGCGAAGGCGCGTGAGAGGGCGGAGGTGTCGTCGGTCTCGCCGTCTCCTACGGCGCCGAATGAGCGCACGTCGAACACCCCCTTCGCACCCGTGGCTTGCGGAACGGGAGGGAGGCTTGGAATGGTGGAGTTGGCGGCGCCGGGGGGGGGAGAAGGCGGCGGTGAAGGAGGCAAGGGAGATTGTATCGGGGGAGGTGGGGGAGATTGCTTTGGGGGAGGTGGGGGCGATTGTTTCGGGGGAGGTGGGGGCGATTGTTTCGGGGGAGGTGGGGGCGATTGTTTGGGGGGAGGTGGTTGAGATTGTTTCGGGGGAGGGGGGGATGAGCGCGGGGGAGAGGAAGTGGAAGATGAAGGTGGAGGGGAGGAAGGGGGAGCGGAAAGGGGGCGAGGGGGAGGGGGCTTGGAAGGGGGTGGCGAAGGGGGTCGGGGCGGCGGAGAAGTGGACGTGGTTTGAGGAAAGCTGCTTTCAGGGGGACGAGGAGGGGGACGGGGAGGCGGACGAGGCGGACGGGGAGGCGGACGGGGAGGCGGACGGGGAGGGGGAGATGTTGGTGGAGGGCTGGCAGTGGAGGAGGGGGAGAGAAGGGTCCTCGAGGAGACGAAACGCGCTAAAGGCGGAGGATAGGGAGGCGGAAGAGGCAGTTCATTCCGCTGCAGGCGATCACTCGAGGCGAGGTGGATGCGGCGCGACGAGCGGAGAAAGGGGATCCACGGGCCATCTTGCGATGCATTCGACACGCGAGGCACCGCAAGTTGATGGCGCGGCCAATGAGGCAGCGTGCGGCTCGAGGAGGAAAGACGGTTCCGATCAGAGGTGGAGGAAGTGGATGAGATGACGAGGAGAAGAGCTATAAGGCACATGAGGCACTTCATGAGCGGATGCTGCTGCTTGCCCCAATCCCTGTCGGCGGCTATGGAGCTTTGATGGTAGAAGCTATAGGTAGTGTCCTTGTACAGCACACTTTCAGTCTATACGTACAAGAGTATTCCAGCATCAAGGGTGGATGCGGTGTTCTATACTGGTAGAATGATCAACTATTCAACGTAGCAGGCGGTATGGTGTCCGGAAGAGACGAAAGTGGGGAGACAGGGCAACTACGGCAAGAATGCGATCGGCTGGGTTTTGCGACGCGAGAAAGGCAGAGCATTGCACACCCGAAATTTGTTCCAGCCTGCAATGCCCCTCGACTCGACTTTTTCCGAATTGTGGTGTGGACAGACAAATCTGCCGCGTGCCTGACTGAACCAGGTCTGATGTGCCCTGGCCCTGGTGTGTCTTTGGCGCGAACTCCGAAGCGCAAGCATCATTTGTCGACATTGCTCATCTCCTTGCTGTGTGCTGTGGAATAACTACACCATTAGAAAACCGGACTAGCTTTCGTGAAATACTGAGAGAAAGTCAAGTAGCATGTGTCTGTCTACTGCTTTTCACAGGAAAATGTTGAGGTAGTGCCTGCGGATAAATATATGCATATATTTAATCAAAGTTGTAAATAATGCCAGTGTCACAATGTGTGCAAGATATGGTGCTTTAGGACCATCGCTTTTCTACGCTGGTGGTAGCAGTGTGTCGAGCACAGGCATGCACTGGTTTTCCTGATGAATAACAAACCTATCCATCAAAATTTTGCTTCCCACGTGGGCACATCTTACATCTTGACATCTCCTCCCACCATCTTGACTCTCATGACTTGCATTACCCTCCAACAGAGCACCTATCGAAGAGACCAAAAGGTTCCAAGGGCTCACAGCAGGCTCTCCAGCACCTCCTCCTTTGTCTTCTTCTGTCCTAGCCGCCTCACTGTCCGTGAGCCACTCTCCCCAGCCCCATTATCCGCTCCCTGCCCAGGTCCTCCATTGTCCGCCCCCCCCTCGTTCTCTGCGGCGTTATCGGCGCTCCCAGCACTGTCCGCGGCGTTGTCAGCGGCAGGCACGAGGTACTTGGCAACAATGGCTTCACTCTTCACCATGATCGCCTCTGGCACCGTCGCCAGCACCTCGTCCAGCGCGCTCACCGCCGCCGCCGCCTGCTTCGCCATGCGTGCGCGCCCGTCCGGCTGGTTCAGGCGTAGCAGCGTATCCAGCCCGCTCAGCGCTTCCAGACACCTGTCTGCCGCCGCGCTCGCCGCTGCTCCGGCCTCGGGACTACCGGGGAAGTAGCCGTCCCCTCCCGGCGTGTATGCCAGCCCCGCTGCCGCGCCTTCCGCCGCGTACCTTGTGAGGGCGCGCAGGTCTCCGCGGAGAGTGCCCGCGGGCCCCGCGCGCAGCAGGGCGCGCACCTGGTTGAGGTCTTCGGGGGAGGAGGCTTGGTCGTCGACGACGGCCTGGACTAAGAGCAGCTGCTCGCGCGTCAACAGCACGGACGGCACGAACGACTCCAACGGGTCCAGCTTCTTCTTCTTGATGTACCGACTCAAACCGCGCTGTAACGCGCTCGGCGAGTCGCCGTCAGCTGCGGTGGCTGGAGGCGGAAGGAGGAAAAGGCCGCATCCGCAAACGGCTGAGGCGACGGCCCCCAAGGCAAGCAGCGACTGGCGGCGAGATACCGTGAAGGCCGCTGGGAACTGACTGGCATTCGTCGAGTCCCTTTCAAGTCGCGAGCTGGTCGGAGATTGGACGGCGACAGCAGGTGAGCGGGAAGAGGAATCAGCGAGCGACGCCGACGTGTGCCTAGCGAGCCGAGAGGGCGTGCAGCGAGCGCGGGAAGGAGAGGAACGAAGCGGGTGGTTTGCCAAAAAAGGGCCGCGTGACAAGCACCACGGGAGCGCCGTGGATGGCGCGTGGGCGAGCGCCATTGTAAGGAGGGACAAAGGGCGCAAGGAGTGGACGGCCTTGAAGGAAGTGAAATGACACGTGTCGCTGATTCTCAGTAGTGGTGGACGCCCTAGTTCTGTGCTTTGATCCGATCGGCTTGTTGTAATTCAGCGATATAAGGTGCTTCTCGGCTCGAATATAAACCTGACTCAGGTGCTCGACTACTTCATTGGTATAGGAGTAAGGATTTGGCCATAATTCGCCATACGACACACGAAGTGCGCTATTTGTATATGATAATATGCCTCCATGTTTGTAAGGAAACCCCATCCGCAATAAGGAGGATGCAGAGTGGAGCGCATGTGTAGATTGAATTCGGATCGGTCGGGCACATCCTCCTCTCGACGAAGGAAGGACTAGTTTCGATTCCCATCGCATCGCACCGCGCACAGTACATGCCACGCCACACCAACGCCTTCTTTCCTCCCCTTCCATTGGGTGCCCCTTTTCAGTGCCACACCGCCACACCACCAGACCGGATGCGACAGTGACAGTGGGGGCACTCACGAAAGATGCCATAAATTCCCTAGCAGCCATGTCAATCTCAAGTTAGAATCTATCAGCGCAGCTTTTACGCTGGGAGAACGACTTTCGTCCTTACATGCAGCGTCCGAAGTGATCAGCTCTCATCGCGCCTCACAACCGCGCGGACCCCATTCGACTCTCTTCCCAGCCTGCCGCGACGACTCACCATGTCGTTCAAGAAATCCGCAAGCAGCCGGAAGCCGGCCGGCACGCTCGAGATCTTGGATGGCAAGAAGATCCTCGAGCTGGTGCAGGATGAGGCGGCATTCACGGCGCACCTCACGGCAGCCTTCGATGAGCTCGACGCCGACAAGAGCGGCACTTTGAGCCGCGCGGAGCTGCGCCCGGCGTTTCTGCGCATTGCGCGCCTGGCGGGGCTGCCGGAGCCGGGCAGCAGGGCGGAGCTGGACCGCGCGGTGGATGCCGTGTTCGGGCTGCGGGAGGGCGAAGACGACGAGCGGGGCGTGGTGGGGAAGGACGAGTTCGTCGCCTTGTCGAAAGACGTGCTCACTGACATCGCCACCTCGCTCGCAGGTCAGATCGCCGCTGCTCATACTCATCGTGATGTCGCTGCGCGTCATTGTCGCGACAGTTCGTTTCTTGCTCGCGCGCATCTCCACTGTCCACTCATCCGCCGCCAAGCGTGGCTCGGTCATGGGCCCGTCGCAACACGTCTATGCTCTCCCCCCTCCCCCTCTCGTCTTCCCCTCGTCAATCCCTCAGCGGAGCCGCTGCTGGTGCAGGTGTTCAACGGCGCGGCGCTGCGCCACGCGGCGGGAACCGCGGAGCAGCGAGCGGCGGTGGCGGATGCGGCGTTCAAGCAGATGGACAAGGACGGCAGCGGCAAGCTGTCGAAGCAGGAGCTGCTGCCCGTGCTCGCCGCGCTCGGCATCGACGGCATGCCGCCTCCCCAAGGTGTGCCGCTCGCGCTGCCCCCCTGTCGCTGCGCGTCCTCCGGATGCCTCTGTGCGGCACTGAACAACCACAACGAGCTTTGCCGGAATCTCGTCACCAGCTCCCTATCGTCACGTACTCCCCCTTCCCCTCTTCTCCCCTTCCCTTCCCGTTCCTCTCAACCCGCCCGCCCCTTCCCCCGCTTCTCCCCGCTGTTCCGACCGCCCCCGTGATCGCGCTCCCGCCAGTGGCGGACGCGATGCTCTCGGCGCTGCTGGAGGAGTACGCGGCGGGCGCGGAGGAGATGGGGCGCGAGCAGTTCGAGGAGCTGTTTGCGCAGCTGGTGGCGGGCATGGCGGACGTGCTCGAGGCGCAACCAGCCGTCGCGGTGGAGGCGGCGGTCGTGCTCAACGGAGGGGTTCTCAGAAAGGTGCTCACACGCACGAGCACGCGTTGCACTCCCAACGCACCGCCTTCCATTCTCCCCAGTCAGATGCTTCCCCGCAGGGTTCCTTGCCTCCGCGGATTCCCGTCGTCCCCGCTCCCCGTTCCCCTCTCAACCCTTCAACCCGTCAAACCCGATGCCCGCCCTTCTTCTTCGCCGTGCCCGCACTGTCTCTCCGGTCCCCGCGTCGCGCGGCAGATGCTGGCGAGCAAGGAGCTGTTCGAGGAGGAGGCCAACGCGCTCTTCGCCGACTGGGACGTCAGCAACTCGGGCCAGCTGTCGCGCGCCGACGTCATCAGCGGGCTGCGGCGGCTGGGCATGGCGTGGGGGCTGCCGCCGCAGCAGGGCGGGGAGACCGACGCGCTCTTCGCGGACCTCTTCGCGGCGGCGGACTTCGACGGCAGCGGCTCCGTGGATCGCGCGGAGTTCTCAGCGCTGCTGTTCGCGCTGCTGACGTCGATCGCTGGGCAGCTGGAGCAGAACCCCATCGTGCTGGGCGTGACTGTGCTGGTGGACCTGCCGGTGGGCGGCGAGGTGCTGGACGGCAAGAAGCTGCAGCAGCTGGTGGCGGACGAGGCGCAGATGGACGCGTTCCTCGCTAGCAAGTTCGACCTGCTCGACCGCAACAGCGACGGCCGCCTCTCGCGCGACGAGCTGCAGCCCGCGTTCCTGCAGGTGGCGCAGCTGCTGGGGCTGCCGCCGCCCGGCACGCGCGAGCAGCTGGACGCGTTCGTGGCGGGCATGTTCGCGAGCGTGGTGTCGGAGGACGCGGACGCCACTGTCGACCGCGATACCTTCGTGTCGCTCTCCAAGCAAGTGCTCACCGCCGTCGCGCGCACGCTGCAAGGCATGCACTACCCAATACCCCTCCTCCCCAACCCCCTCCACTTCGTCCCCCTCCCTTTCCCCGCTCCTCTATCTCTTCCCCCCCCTCTCTCCCTCATTTCTCTCTTTTCATTTCGATTCATTCCGAAAAAAAATTGTCCTCGAAATTTTCTACACATGCCCCATCACACCTTACCAGTGACCTCCTCTCGTGCCCTGTCACACACTTCCGCACGTCTTCTCCCCTCCCCCGTGTCCACCCTCCCCTGCGTACCTCCCCTCTCGCCCATTCCCCCTCCGCCCCATGCGGCTGTGCAGAGGACCCGCTGGTGCTCTTGTCGCTGGACGGTTCGCGCCTGCGGCAGCTGCTGGCGCCGGAGGCGGAGGCGGAGTTTGAGGGCATGGCGGGGGAGGTGTTTGCCGCCATCGACACGGACGGCAACGGCCAGCTGTCCTTCTCCGAGCTGAGCCCCGCGCTGCAGGCCATGGGCGTCGCCATGGGCCTCCCCCCCGCCGGCTGTAAGCCTACCGCCCCTCGTCCCTGCCCTCCACGTGCCTCATAGGGTGCAGGTGTGCGCACAGGGCATGCGAGCGAGGGCTGGGACGTGGCGTTGTGGCGTGCACGCACCTCTCCCTGCCCCTGTGGACTGCCTGCCTGCCACTCCTCCTGCTACCTTTGCTCTCGTTTCTCCGTCGCTCTAGCCCCATTCATTCCATCCCCTTCTGCATGGCATGGTGCCTCAGCCCTCAACCCCTATGCAACAACCCCCTCCCATCTCCCAACCCCACCCCCCTCCATGCGCACCCCTTCCCCCTCGCGTTCCCTCTCTGCCCTCTCCCACCGTGCCCTTCCCCCTGCCCCCCCATGGGCGCAGTGAGGGAGAACGCGGACACGGTGGTGGCGGACGTGGTGGCGGAGTACGGCCACGGCAAGCGCGAGCTCAGCCAAGCTGACTTCACGGCGCTGCTGCGCGACATGCTGGGGGACGTGGCCACACGCCTGGAGGAGCACCCCGTGCTGCTGGGCCACACCGCCACCGTGCTCAACGGCTCGCGCCTGCGCAAGGTACAACCCACCACAGCCCTGCAGTTGCACCGGACCCGGGGCTTGCAGCCACTCCCACACCTTCTCCTTGTGCCTTTCCCGCCTCTCCCCCATGCGTCTGCCTCTTTCCGCCAGCAACAATTGCATTTCAACCCTCCTGAACCCCTCCCACCCATCTCACTCCGTGCCCCCGATCCCCCTTGGTTGGCGGTGCAGCTGCTGCAGAGTCCGGAGCAGCTGGAGGCGGTGGCGGACGAGCTCTTCCGCGACTGGGACACGCAGCACCAGGGCAAGCTGTCCTGCCGGGACCTGTCCGCGGGGCTGGCGGGGCTGGGCCCATCGCTGGGGCTGCCACCGCCCGTGGCGAAGGACGCGGAGGGGTTCTACCGCGAGCTGTTTGTGGCGGCGGACATGGACGAGAGCGGCTTCCTGGACCGCACGGAGCTGCGCGCCATGCTGCAGTCGCTCTTTGAGAAGCTCGCCAGCGAGCTGGAGCAGAAGCCCCTCGTGCTCGAGTGCACCGTCATCTCCACCTGATGCGCGCAAGCGTGAATGCTGAGGCCTGCTACAGTGGCTAGACAGTATTTGGCATTGGTGTCACCTAAGGGTACATTCCGCTGTGGACACTGTCCCAATCGATGTGTCCCAATCGATTGTACCGCTCCGAACCGAACTAAACCAGAGACGCGAAAATTTCGAAACTAGGGTGCAATTTGGTGTAATACGATGCAGTGCGGTAGAAACGATTGAGACACTTTCGATTGGGACATGTCCAGCGCGGAATGTACCCTAAGTTATGGTCCTATTGCTCACACAGGGCCATTTGAGAAGCATCCATATATATCAGGCCAGTACCAGCCTTTTCAGATAGAACTCTAATGTTTACACACTGAAGGGGCACCTATCCAGGGGATGGCAGTACTTGTACAACCACTTCAACCCAATGCTAAGATGACTACATACAGTAATATTAGATTGGGTTTCATAAGGACTAGCCTAATATATAACACAACACATCGCAATGCTACCATGCGTATTGTCTTCCCTACATGTGAGCATGACTACAAGAGCTAGTGACTACCGTACCTACAAGCCGCAACAGCAGTTAAGGGAAGTGCGACACAGGGAAGCTACCTTATGAGCAAGCAGCTGAAGAGCTCTAAAAGATGTGGCTACCAGGGTTTCAGCGGAGCAGCACGGCACAGCAGGTGTCAGGGCATGTGGCGCAGGGTGGTGAGGAGGTCAGCATCGATGTGGCCCAGCCTGGCACACGCCACCACGGGCTCCGGTACCTCCCACTCGTTGTTGCCCTGCCACGGGGGCACGCACGCCACGGCCAGTGCAGGGGGCACGAGGTTGAGATGCATGAGAAGCGAGGGGAGACAAGGGGCGGGTGATGATGAGGAACACATGCGTGGAGATGAAGAGTGACAAGGGGCTGCCAGGGCAGGGCAGTCGCCTGGCAGGGCAGTGAGGTGGCAGGGAGTAGAGGGAGGCATGGGAGATGAGGCAGTATGCACATGGCAGTCACCTGGGAGACGAGGGCGATGTCCACATGGTGGGTGGGCAGCGCCGCCAGCACGCCCAGCAGCGGGCGGCGGCTGTGGTCCGGCACGCGGTGCAAGTCCACGTCCACCTCCAGGTAGTCGGGACCCTGGGGGGCCCACGGGCACCACCACGCAAGAGGGGAGAGAGATTGTGGGCTTGGGTCGAGAGGCCGACGGATAGTGTGCGTGTGCTAATGAGAGTGAGAGGAGGGGAGAGGGAGAGAGTGGGTGGGGGACGAATACGAGGTGTGGTTGGAATGAGTGGATTGCAAGGGGGTGAGGAAGGATGGCACGGCAAGGTTGCACAGGTGTTACCCACGCACTCATCCTTGGACCAGGGTCACACATGCACCACTGGTGACTCGCAAGGTGAGCAGCGGGGCGGGTGGGGCAGAGAGAGTTACCCGGAAGAACATCTGGCAGGGATGCACGAGCAGAGACGCACTCTCATCCCCCGCGCCACTGCTCCCATCACTGCCGCCCTCTGCCGCCCCCTCCTCCCCCTTCACCGCTGCCTCCTTGCCTCTCGCCTCCCCTTCCTCCACGCCACTCTCCTCTGCTACCACCTCCCGTGCCTTTCCCCCATCACCCTCCCCCGCACTCTCTCCCCCCCCCTCCCCCGCGCTCTCCCCCACCCGCTCGCCCACCCCTTGGCCATGGCCCGTGTGTGGCTGGGCGCGCTTGACGAGGGTGAGCTTCACGCGCTCGCGGAACGGCACCGACCCACCCGCACCCTCCGCCATGAAGCCGCGCGCCATGCCCTGCCATGCACACGGCACGCACAGGGATGTCAGACTTTAAGGCCTCATCGCCCGCTGTGACGCCTGCTGTGGGGACACGTCTTGCACACATGCACAGAGCACCATGGTATCTCCTGGCCATGCATGCACGTGACGGCACTACCCACACATGCACCCTCATCTCACACCAGACACACGACACAAGGCATGGGAGCACATGACACACCACCATGATTCACCGCACTGCACCACGACGGGCGCACCTGCAGCAGCGGCAGCATGTTGGGCGGAGCAGAGAGGAAGAACTCGGTGCAGATCTGCGCATAGAGCACCACGCTCACGCCCTCTGCGCGCCCCCCTTGCGGCACCGCTGGGGGCGCCTCCACCGCCTCGTGCGCGTGGGGCTGCCTCGCCAGCTGCATGGGCGCCTGGGGCATGGCGGACGGGGAGAAGAGGGAAGGGGGAGAAGAGGGAAGGGGGAGAAGAGGGAAGGGGGAGAAGAGGGAAGGGGGAGAAGAGTGGGGTTGCAGGGGATGAGCAACGTGGGCACGCAGTGAGTGGGTGAGTGGTATACCGAAAGAGGGGTGTGAGTACGCAGGGGAAGCAGCACCCCCAGCACGCGGAGCAGGGCTGACCTGGATGTTGATGACGAGGTACGGCGGCCATGCCGACACCAGCGCCGCCACCTCGCGTGCACTCAGCGCACTGCCCACTGCACTGCTGCCCTCCGCTGCATCAGCGGCGCTGGGTGCGAAAACGTTACTGGCGTCAGAAGCGTGTGGCGGGAGGGCGAAGGCAGCGGGGGAGGGGGCGGCGGAGGAGGCATGGGCGTGGGGGAAGGAGGCGAGGGGGCCGGGCAGCTGCACGAGGCGCGCGACGTGAGTGAGCTTGGTGGGCGCGCGGAACACGTCCACTGCCGTCACCACATATGGCGCCACTGGGTGCGCTGGGCGCTCACACGACGTGCTGGGGGCAGATGGGAGTGGGTTTAAGGAGCGCAGGGGAGTGGGTAGGGAAGGAGTGTGGGTGTGTGAGTGAGCATGATGGTGTGGCGCATGGTTGATGCATGGGTGGTGGGCGCAGCAGCAAACCGTACTCACGAGAAGTAGTCGGGGCCGCGCACGTGGAAGCACGAGGGCGCCAGGGGCGTCCAGAAGTGCGTGCAGCTGTGGCTGTCCGCCTGGCCCCCCTGCGCAAACGACACCCCGCCCTCGCCCTGCCACGACCCCACCTCACTGCTGCCAGGGCGCGCAGTGCTGGCAGCCGCTGCAGTGGCTTCCGCCTCCAGGTGGGCGGCGTACTCAGAGGGCGAGAGGCGCGGCAGCTGCCCCGCCAGGGGCTTGCGGGACGTGCTGCGCACTGCAGGGGGCGAGGGGGTCGGGGGAGCAAGGGGAGGGGGAAGAGGGAGGGGAAGGGGAAGGGGAAGGGGAGAGAGAAGAAAGAAGAAGAAAGAAGAACAGGCATGGGAAGAGGAAGGAAGGATGCGAGAGGTGGGCAATTCAGTCAGCAGATGGATGCCTTGTGTTGTGACCTGCCATGGCATGCAGGCCGTGCACGCAGTGCCTCATCATCCCCTCCCACTCTCCCTCACGCCCCTGGCAGCGCTCACCACTGGCGGAGAGGAAGAGGCCGGGGCTGTTGGCGCCCAGGGGCGACATGGCGGAGAGCTGCAGCGAGTTGCAGCGCTGCAGCCCACCACTGCCCGTGCGCAGGGGGGGCGGGCGCAGCGGAGACATGGGCACCGCGTGCGGCACGGTGGCAGATCCGCTGCTGCCCTTGCCTGCGCCCTTCCTCTCCGCCCCCCCTCCCTCCGCGTGGAACACGGCGGTGGCAGCAGCAGCGGCGGCGGTGGAGGCGGAGGCGTCGGAGGAGCGGCGCGAGGGGGCGTGGCGGCCGGGGGAAGAGGGGCGGCGCAGGAAGGACACGAGGCGGTGCGCGGAGGGGGCGCTGGGGGGGCGGGGCGAGGGGGAGGGCGAGGGCGGAGCGGGTGCAGCAGCAGACGACGAGGTGGAGGTGGAGAGGGAGAATGGACGGATTTTGATGGGGATGAGGGATGGGAGCGAGGAGGAGGAGGCGGATGGGGCAGTGTGTGCACTGGTGGACGAAGGGAGGGTGGGTAGTTCGGGGGGACCAGCATCGGCTGGAACAACAGGTTCGGACTTAGCAGCAGGTTCGGTGGGAGCATCAGGTTCGGTGAGAGCAGCAGGTTCGGCAGGGGCAACAGGTTCAGTGGGAGTATCGGGTTCGTTGGGAGCGTCGGCTTCGGTGGGAGAAGCAGGTTCAGTGGGAGCAGCAGGTTCGGCAGGGGCAGCAGGTTCGGTGGGAGCATCGGGTTCGGTGAGAGCAACAGGTTCCGTGGGAGCAGCAGGTTCGGCAGGGGCAGCAGGTTCGGTGGGAGCATCGGGTTCGGTGGGAGCAGCAGGTTCGGCAGGAGCAGCAGGTTCGGCAGGAGCGTCGGTTTCAGTGGAAGCAGCAGGTTCGGTGGGAGCAGCAGGTTCGGTGGGAGCAGCAGGTTCGGTGAGAGCAGCAGGTTCAGTGAGAACACTAGTTGCAGGTAGAAGTGGTTCCAGTGTGGCGGTCATGGCAGTGGCTGCAGCGGAAGCAGCAAGAGCAGCAGCAGCGGGTGGAAGGGCACTGCTGTGAGGCGGTGAGTTGTGGGCAGCATGGTGAGCGGCAGCAGGCAAGGCAGCGCTGCCATGCGCGTCACCCACCATCGCCGCCACCGGCCCCTCGCTCGCTGCACTCTCAGCCAGCACGGCAGCAGGGGGCAGCACGGCAGGCAGGGCGCAGGCAGAGGAGGCGGAGGGGGGCGCGGAGGCCAAGGGGGCGAGGGTGGGGGTGAGCTGCGACGCTGCTGGTGGGGGGGTGGCGAGGGGGGGCGTGTCGGGCGCAGCAGGGGGCGTGGATGAGCCATCGCCTCGCCCTGGTGGCAGCTCGTGGGGTAACTTGGCAGCCAGGGGGGTGGCGGGCGCAGGAGGGGAAATGGACGGTGGCGAGGAGGGCGCGGGCGGTTGCGATGGAGAGGCGGTGGGCGATGGTGCTGACCCTGACAGAGGGGCGACGGGGGTGGTCAGGGAAGGCACAGGAGGGATAGACGATACGACAAATAAAGTTGCTGCTGAATGTACATGGATGAGGTGTGTGTGTGCATGCGCGCGCGCGCGTGTGTGTGTGTGTGTGTGTGTGTGTGTGAGTGTGTGTGTGTGTCTGTATGTGTGAGTGTGTGTGTGTGTGTGTGAGTGTGTGTGTGTGTGTGTGTGTGTGTGTGCTTGTATGTGTGTGTGTGTGTGTGCGTGTGTGTGCGCCTGTGTATGCAAGTGTGTGCATGACTGGCGAGTGTGCGCAACAGTGGAGGGGGCAAGGAGCATGGGCGAGAGGCGAGGGGCAGCAGCAGCGCGCCCCTGTGCGACTCACCTTGGGAATGTGCGTCTTCACCGCTGCCCACGCTCAGAAACTCCTCCTCCTCATCCTCCTCCGCTGCTGCCTCACAGCCCCCCACCGCATCACCCTCTGCACCCTGCTGCTCCCGCCTCTCCACCTCCCCTTGCTGCTCCGCACGCTCCTCCGCGCCCCCCCCCTCCTGCGCTGCCTCTGCCCCCTGCTCCTCCACTGCTTCCGCCCTCCCGTGCGCCTCCGCGGCCTTGCCCGTCGCCATGCCTGCTGGCGCCTCGCTCCGCTCTGCGCAGCACGGCGGGCGTCAGGGCGCAAGGGCGGATGGCGGGGGGGGCGAGGGAGTTAAAGGCGGAAGGGATTGGCGGCAGACCAGGAGGGGCGGGGACAAGCACAATGCGGGCTGGTGGGAGAGGGCGACGAGCGGGAGAGGGAGGGGAACGAGTCAAGGGAGCGGGGGGCGAGAAGGTGAGGAGGGAGGGGTGGGGGTAGGGGACGTGGCGTGGCAGGGGAGCGGGGGGCGCGGCGGGACTCACGGGCCTGCATGAAGGCGTTGAGCGCCACATTGGGGTGCACGGGGATGTCCTCCCCGAACACCCTCCGCCGCACTGCCTGCCCCGCCTCCTCCGAGCCCACCGCCTCCGCTTGCCCCTCGCCACTAGCGTCCCCCCCAGCACCCGCCATCTTCTCCTCATCCGCCACGTGTCCGCTGCTGCCGCCCGCCTTCCCGCTTTTTCGCCTCAGCTTTGGGAAGCACGTCGCCTCCCCTCCTCCCGCGCCCGCCCCTGCTAGTTCCCCTTCCGCTTTCGCGCCCACCTCCTCCCCATCCTTCTCCGCCGCGCTCTCCTTCGCCGCACCGTCCTCCCCCTTCCCCGCGCCCCCCTCCTTCTTTCCCCAGAGCGCCATCCCCGCCCACATGGAGCGCCCCTCGTCCGCGCGCCCGTCGCGCCTGTCCCCGCCGCTCAGGCAATTCATCGTCACGCCGTCCGCCGGCACCACCGCGCTTAAACACCCCATCGATGCTGCCGCGCCCGTCGCTTTTTCCTCGCCGCCCGCCTCCACGATCCCTGTTTCCTCCGCCTTTTCTGCACCCGCTTGCGCCTTCTCCTCCTTCCCCGCGCCCCCCAGGACCTCCTTAACCGCTTTCTTCCCGCCTTCCCCCTCCCAAACCGCAACCACTACGCCCTTTCCGCCCTCCCCTGCTATCCCCTCTTCCCCCGCCTTCTCCCCGCCGCTAGGTTGCGCGGAAGGGGAAGGGAAGTCGAGGTTCTTGCGCGCGGAGGGCGTGGAGGGCTGCAGCGATTCGATCTGGTAGCTCAGGCAGCTCACGGACGACAGCGACTCTGCCAACGGGATGGCGGGGCGGACACGGGCGGAAAGACGTGCATCAGCGCGCGCGTCCTAACAGCGCGCACACACCCAGTAGCAGCAAGCTCGCATACAGGCCGAGAGGCGGGCCGGCAGGCAGGTCGGCAGCAGGACGGTATGCAGCAGGCATGGCGGCATGGGAGGTGGACGCACCTGCTCCGGCGCTCTTGAAGTCGTCGTCCACGTCAGCCGCGGACTGCGCGTCCGCGAACTCCTCCGCGTCGGCCATTCCCTCCTCGCCTCCCGCCACCGCCCCTGCTGCTGCGTCCGTCAGGCCGTCTGCGCGGCAGTGGGGGAAAGGAAAGAGTGGAGAGAGAGGGAAAAGGCAGACGTAGCGGCGGGAAGATGGGTCACGGCAACAGCCATGGTAGGCGCATGGCGCATGGCGCAACAACATTGTGGTGACCTTCCAACCTTTCTTTCCGCGCCTTCCCTTGCGTCCCAACCTCGGTGCGCGAATTGTCATTGAACCTGTCCGCGAAAAACAATCCCCCGCCACGCCCCTCCCCCTTCTGCCTCCTCCCACGGTCCCCTCCCAACCCGACAACCACCGAGCGCGCAGCTTACCGATTGCTTTCACCGTTTTCCCCGCCTCCGCCTTGTCCGCTTGCGCCTCGCCATCCACTACACTGCCCTTCTGCGCTTTGCCGGAAGCGGCTCCGCGTTGAGACGCGCCGAGCACGTCCGGCTTGGACAGGCAGCACCCCATCCTCGCGCGCCTCGTGCCCCCCCTGCTCTCGCGCTCCCGACTGCCCCACCCTGTACCGAAGCAACCAAAGTGCTTATCCGTTGTAACGGTGCTGCGCGTATCGAGGAGCAGGCGGAGGATTGACGACGGGGAGTGGGGGGAGCGGATTGATGGCAGTGGCGGCGAGACCGGGGGAAACGGAGGACAGGATATTATGCGGATTGCGGAATCAGGGAAAGGAGTGCAGCAAGTACGACGGTGGGGCAGGGTGACAAGTTCTGAACAAACGACGGAAAAGAGTCGCGTGGACGATAAGGGCGGTCAAGTCTGCCTTTTCCGCGTGGAGAGACAACAGCGTTTGGCGAGGAACGTTCAACACGTGGCAAGGCAAGCAGACAAGCTCACATGCTATCACGAGACGGCGATATATCCACGCATGCCCATGCTCTGGTTTGGCCGGACGGACTAGGGCTGACGTCTTCTATACGAACACCCTCACTACGGGAGACTGCGGCGCGAAAGATACTAGGAAAACAAGTTCGTGGTTCAGTTTGCATTGCCAACATTGGGAATGGAGAGCCTTGCAGCTGACGGGCTTCCCAATAAGCGCCCGTCCACACCTCAGTGCCCTCTTTTGCTTCTTGCTCTTCTCGCCTCGCCTCGCCTTGCCGCCAGCCCCGCTCCACTTGTCCCTTTGCCTTCCGCCCAACCACCACCCTCCAGTCGATTCGGCTGGACTGGAAAGGCTTCGCGCACCAACCAGCAGTCGATCGCGACAGATTGTTGCGACGTTTCCCTCTACACCTCTACCGCAAAACTTGTCGCAAACACCCACTGATTTCGCGAAGTCAACATTGAGTCGGCTGCTACTGGTAGGTTTTGCCACCACAACAGATTCTCGGCGCGCTTCGGCCCTGACGACGACGGTGACGATGACGAGGGCTGATGTGACGAAGACTGTAACGAGCTGGAACGAGAGGTCTCCGACGTGGTATAGTTTATATGAAGGACGCGTTCTCACTCAGTTGATTTGGCTTCGTGACGCTTCGACTTCGGGCGAGTTCCACTTGTGTACCCGTTCCGACGTCACGGTTAACACTTTCTTCTGTTTGCACACTGCAATCAAGCTGTAACTGACTGAACCAGAGATAAATGTTTACAAGAAATTTACATGGACAAAGATGCGAAAAAAGGTCTTGGCATACTCTTTTTACAAAAGCCAATATTCCATCATTGACTTTTTTAGGCTCAACTGCTTTGCCAACAACACTGCCGAGCCGGCTACTCTACAAAATGAAACGCAAGCAAACAGTATCGACGCACACACACACACATGGTATCAAACGCAAGCAAACAGTTGAGACATACGGTAGGAGACGAGACACAAATCCAGTCGACAGTGGCGAAGAACCAATGTCCACGAAAAAATCAGCATGCAGCAGGGACAAACATGCGGGGCCAAGCGGGGACCATTGTGTCCGCGCACCCGCGTTTGCCAGCCGTGCGCAGCACACCCCTCAGCAGAAGAACATGTGCTCCCTGACGCGGCCCTGCAGGGGTGGCAGCGGGCGCACCACCACTTCGCCGGCGCTGCGGCTGCTGCGGCTGCCGGAGCTCTCCCCCGTGGTGGCGGATGTGCCCGTGACCGTGGAGGGCGCGGGGGCAGCAGGCGCGTGCTCAAAGGCGGTGGACTGTGAGCCGGTGTCGGAGAACTGGTCGGGGTCCATGTAGAAGCGCGCTCGAAACGCCACTATGTGCGCGTAGTACGCCGGCGGCACTGCCATGAACACACGGCGGCAAAAACAAAAACGACGAGTTGTATGACCCGCCAAGAGATGCTTGGGTGATGGCAGACGTGAAATGATCTAATGTGGCAATGGCGTAGCATGTGTTTAGGGTTTAGAAGGGGGTGGAGGATGTGGAGGGGGATGAGAAGCACTCACCAACAGACACGGCACGAGTGCAGCGGGCATATCTGCAAGATGAGCAAGAGGCATAGAATACATGGGCATGAGATGAGTGGGAGGGTGAGATATACACGTGGATGAATATGCACTGATAACATTCAGCGGTACTAGTAGTGCTGCGACGACCATGCAACACAGCAGAACTCAGAAAGCGCGCAGGCAGTGCGACCGCACTAATTGCCGTACACCTAGTGGCGCTCAAGATGTGGCAGTAGCATGCAGGGCGCGTGCATGGGTTGCGAGCAGCGCGGGCATACGTGTAGGCCATGGAGTAGGTCATGCGCTGCAGCGTGTTGGAGTCAAAGCCGTTCTCGTCATGCACCACGTGGTAGTGCGTCGGCCGGCTCGTGCCCTGCCATGCCACACCCGCACACACCGCAAGATGGGACGACAGTGGGAATGTGGTGGACGTGATGAGTGGCCAAAGTATAAAGAGAGCACATGTATGTGGGTGTGAACGACAGGGGGTATGGAGGGTGGGAGGGGAGGAGCCATAGGTAGCCACGTATGCTGAATGCACCATGGGACACAAGAACAATTTGCTACACAGCAGTGCAGTTATCCTGGTTCCCATGATTGCCACATCCAGCTCAAGCACATGCATGAGATGCATTCGGGCAGGGGGGTGACCTGGATGCCGGAGTGGCTGACCTGGATGCCGGAGTGGATGACCTGGATGCCGGAGTGGGTGACCTGGATGCCGGAGTGGCTGACCTGGATGCCGGAGTGGCTGACCTGGATGCCGGAGTGGCTAAGAAGGTAAAAGTCAAATTCGGTAGGGTGGCAGATGCCCGTGTCAATGACGGTGCCGGGCAGGGCGTTGCCACTGCGGTCTGTGGTGCTGCGGTTGCGCGAGTCAAACGGGAAGAAGCGCGTGTGGTGGCGCTTCTGCACCACCGCAAATGTCACCAGCGGGTTGTAGCTCTCCTCCAGCGATGCACACGCCTGCACCGCACACCACATGCACGCATGGGAGCACACCCGCATGAATGCATATCCGCCGTGACCGCGCACAGCGGCTCACTACAGCACCTTCCCACAACCACTGAAGAGCGGGATGGGGCAGTGAGTCACACCAAGGCAACGAGAGAGAGCAACACTGCGCACCTCCCCGGTGCCATGCCTCGCTCTCACTGCTTCCCCACCCCACGCACTAGTGCCCTGCCCATGCGTGAGTGCCCTGCCCATGCGTGAGTGCCCTGCCCATGCGTGAGTGCCCTGCCCATGCGTGAGTGCCCTGCCCATGCGTGAGTGCCCTGCCCATGCGTGAGTGCCCTGCCCATGCGTGAGTGCCCTGCCCATGCGTGAGTGCCCTGCCCATGCGTGAGTGCCCTGCCCATGCGTGAGTGCCCTGCCCATACGTGAGTGCCCTGCCCATGCGTGAGTGCCCTGCCCCTGGCTGACCTGCTTGATAGCCGCCACCTCAAATTCCTTCACTGCGGCAAACTGCCCGTCACTCACTCCGTCCCTGCCCGACCACACACGGCCGCGAGGGAGGGGAGCAAGGAGGGGGGGAGGAGAGGGAGGGCAGTGTGGGCATGGAGCTGGTGACGCAGGGTGTGGTGACGCAGTGGCAGAGAGGCGGGACAACTCTGGTCATGGAACGCGCGTGCACCATGCAGGGGCAGGGAAGACAAGGGGGCCATGCACGGTTGGGCGTGGCGTGGACGATGGGGGAGCACAACACGTGGGACAAGGTTGCAGGGGACACATGTCGTGAGAGGGGCGCGGAGCACTTTGGATGGGAGGCAAAGTGGCAGGGTTAAAATGTGGTGGGGCGCACACCTGTACATGACGACGCGCTGGGGCTTGTGGCCCGTGGAGCGGTAGAAGCTGATGAGCAGCTCCCTGTGGCGCGCGCACACACACACACACCAGTGGGGAGAGGGGCGGCACACACAAACGGGCAGGCAGTGCAGTGATGGTGGGGGGAAGGCGCAGGACAACGTAGGTCAGGGCAGAAAGAGAGGAGCAGAGAAAAGCAGAGGTGCGCAGAGGTGGGCAGGGCAGGGTGGGGGAGGAGGATGGTACCTGACCATGCCGCCGTGCTGCAGTGTGCCGTTGGCGTCCTGCGAGCACGTGTAGAGGTTCTGAATGATCTCCACACGGTGCGCCTGCGCACTGACGAGCGCCCGGTAGCGCGCCATCTCGGGCCAGTCCATGGACGCCACCACCTGGTGTGCCAGGGCACCACACACGCCCGCACAGTGGCCACACAGCGCACAAGGAGGCGCTCAGAGGTAGGTAGCAATGGCGATGGCAAGTGGCAGAGGTGAAGCGCAATGGAGGATGCATGCAGGGGAGGGAGGTGTGGAGGGTTAGAAAGGGCGGAGGAGCAGTGCAGGCGAGGGGGCTCACAGCAGCGATGGATGGGCTGTTGTCCTCGCCTGGCGAGGGGTGTGTGACATCAGCGCCAAAGAGAATGGTGTACTCATGGCAGATGAGCGGGATCTGCCTCTGTATGGAATCCACCAGCGCCGTGTTGCGCCCCCCCACCTGCTCATGCCATGCCATGCCATGCCATGCCATGCCATGCCATGCCATGCCATGCAGCCGCCACGAGAAGTAGCACAGTTGAGCCACAAGAGCAACACGGTGAGGCAAAGAGGTGGCGTAAGCCGTGCGCGGGAGAGAACATCCAGGCGGGCTTGCTTTGCACAAGTAGCTTCCTTCCTTTCCCTCTCCCCTTGTCCCCCCCACCCCCTTTTCTTTCCGTCCCCCCTTTCTCCTTCACAGTGGGCCACCCAGCACCCGTGTGTGTGCGGGGGGTGAGAGCAGAGCACCTTGGCGTTGATCTTCAGCGCCACATTTGCGAGATACTGCTTTCCCTTGCCCAACTTTGTTGCCAGGCAGCACTGCACACACCACCACACCACACACCACACACCCACGGGCACGCCCACGAGGACAGAGGAGGACGCAGGGGGGAGCGGGGAGGGAGAGAAGAGGAGTACGGGTGAGTGCGTGTGCGGATAGCACGTCCAAAGAGGAGCGTGCAGTAATGAGGTGCGCGGAGCAAGACGGTAGCCAGTGGAGAGGGCCAAGAAGAGGTGAAGAGATTTTGGAGAGTGGAACGAGAAAGCATGGGCACGGGGCGACGGGGCAAGGCGCGATGAGGAGGCCCACCTGCGTGACAATGCCAAGCTCGGTTTCGCAGAGCCGCTTCAGATTGCCTGCAGTTCCAACAGGGAGAGGAGGTGGGGGGGAGGGAACGAATTGGGGGCACGTCAAACAGGCTGATGCTGTGCCAGCAACAGGCATGCATGATGCATGCAGGCGTGGACCATAACTGGTGCCCAACATTGGAGGAGAGGAGGAGAATGGGTGGGGGGGAACAAGGGTCGTTACCACAAATGGTGCTGGGCTGTGTGACTGGATCGGAAGGAGGTGGGCAATGGTAGGAAGGCGAGTGAGGAGGAGGGAGCAGGGAGTGGGTGGGAGGGGTAGAGGAGCGGGTACCATAGAGGGGGCCGTTGCCCTCGTTGAGGATCCACACCACAATGTCCACGTCGGGCATGGGGCGCTGCGCGGGGGTGAGCTGCTTGGCCAGGTTGCGCAGAATGGCGTCCATCTGCCCCGCATGCCCCGCCGCCATCGGCACACACATCCTCTGCTCCATTTGCTGCTCCCTCATGCACATGCCCATATGCAAAGGAAGAGAAAGACGACTTGGTAAGAACCGACTGATGCTTGTGGTGGACAGGCGCATATGTCGGGGAAACGAGTGCACGAAGAAAGGGAAATGAGACAAGGAAAGGAAGTCGAGAAAATAGATGGGTAACGGGTTGCGCGAGAGAAGATGGAAGTGGGTGGGAGAAGGTGAGAGCAGGCGGCAGGTGGAGCACGCACGAGGCCGGTGACATTGCACATGTGCGCAAGATCCCGTCCAAACTGCTCTGCTGCCGGGCGCGGCAGACGACTCAGGTTCACCAGAGCCCAGCGCCTCACCACCGCTCCCGTCAGCACTCGCTGCATGAGGGGGAAGGTTGGGGGTGGGGAGAAAACGAGGTGGGTTAGTGAAATAAGACAGTGTGTTTTATGCATGCAGGGCAGGGCGCAGTAGTACATGTCATCCTTGCAGCACAGGTGCTGCTGCATGAGAGTTAAGAGAGCATGGCAGCAGGGTGCAAGGCAAGGCAGGAGAGCAAGGCGTGCAACAGGTCACCTTGTTCATCATGTTCCATGCGCCCACTTGCGGCACCACGGTGCGCTCTCCACCCGAGTCCTAGTACTTGAGCTGCAGGGGGCACGCACCGGACACGCACGCCAGGCGGGGGGCGAGGGCAACACAGCGAGGCATGAGGAGGGGGCAGAGCAGTACATGTGCAACGAGGCATGCTGTGTGGGAGCACATGTACGAGAGGGTGGCTTGGCGGAGCAAGAGCAGGGGGGAATGAGGCAGTGGCACGGTACCGTGGGCGTGGGCAGCACGCGTGCGTTGATGGTGGCCATCTGGGGCGCCACCCGGATGCCAAACTCAGCCGCGAACGGGTCGCGCTCATACGCATTGCCGCACCGTCTGCCATGCCAGCACGCCGCATGCACAGAGGCAAGTAGCAGGGGCGCAAGGTGGAGCGATGGGCAGAACAAGGCAGGAAAACGGAAGTGGTAGTCATGAAGTAGCAGGCACACAAGGGGGTGCTGCTTTGGTGGGCATGATAAATCCACCACACCACATCTCCTGAGTAAGCCACCCTGTCACATTGTCCAATCGACTATCTCTCCTCCCTTCCCACACATTCTCCCTTCACCTCCCTCCCCCCCACCATCTCCAAACACCCAACCATCACCACCAACAGCAGCAGCAGCTGCCCCTTTCTCTTGACAGCACTGACCTGATTAATCTCTCGCTCGCGCTCGAACGGCTTGCGAGCGGCGTGCACGAGGATTTGGCTGGTCTGGACCTCGTTGAGCTTCTTGTTGTACCTCTGGCCCTCTACTATGCGACACACCTGCTCGCACACACACGCACACGCCCATGCCACACGCACCCACAGCCAGATGCGCGCACCAACATGTAGATAATAGGCGCACGCGCGCATGGTACATGGTTGCCGAAGCATGGAGCGAGGCAGACAAGAAGCAGCGAGACGAACAGCACACGGTGAGAGGCTGGGGGCGATGGCAGGTGGGGAAGGGGCATTGGAAGAGAGCAGGCGCGGCGAGCACGTGGAGCAGGGCGCGTGGGGGCGGGGGGGAGGGCGCACCTCAAGCGGGAGGTAGTTGACACGGTCGCCCTGGCCGGTGGTGGCGCAGGGCATGTTGCGCAGCTGCAGCTGCAGGTTGTAGTGCTGGCGGAAGTACGCCTCCACCGTCACCACCTGCGCCTCCCCCTCCGGGGTCGTCAAAGGAAACCTGCACCATGGGCGGACGGGTGCACCCAAGCCATGAGGAGGCGAGCAAGCACACATGGGGAGAAGGCAGGGACGAGGGTGGGCAAGGAAAATTGTAAGGGACGGAACGGTGGAGTGAGGGAGAGCAAGGAGAGGCGGGGCGGTGAGTGGGGGCGCGTACGTGAGGGCCTGCAGCGGCTGCGTGGTGAGCCCTGTGAGCTTGTACTTGCGCCTCATCTGCCCCCGGTGCGTCACCTCTATGCGCACGCCCCTCAGCCCCTTGCGCAACTGGCAGGGGGAGGGGGGAGAGTAGGAACAGTGAGGAGATGGGGATGCACTAAGCAGGAAGAGAGTGCAGAGGAGGCAGGAAGAAGAAGCGACGACAGATGGGTGCAGTGCACAGCGCGGGTGCAGCAAGAGCAAGTGGCGCGGCGAGGTGGGTGGCAGGGGCGGTACCGCGAAGCGCTCGAAGTCGGAGAGCGGCTGCTGCAGCGAGTGGCGGTTGAGCAGGCGCATCACGAAGTCGGGCAGCATCAGCGGCTCCAAAAACGCCGTCGCCGCCATGTCTGTGCACCGCAAGTGGGGAGAAGAGGACGGAGAGGGGACGGGCGACGAGAGGGAGGCATGAGGGCGAGGAGGCATGAGGGCGAGGAGGCATGAGGGCGCGGAAGCATGAGGGCGCGGAAGCATGAGGGCGCGGAAGCATGAGGGCGCGGAAGCATGAGGGCGCGGAAGCGTGGCAGCTTACCAAGGTTGAGCGTGAGGCCCATCTGCGTGGGTCGCACGCTCTGGTAGAAGCCCTTCCACGCCTCCACTCCGTTGCCGATGGGCGCGCGCGGACCCAGGTCCGGACTGAAGAAGGACCGCGCCACGGGCACGTACCTGCCGCATGCCACGCGGGGGAGACGCAACAGAGGGAAGATGCGCGGGAAGTGGAGCGACGTTGAAAATATAAAGGGGCGCGAGAACGAAGATAAGGCACAGCACACGCGTTCCTACCATCTCCACCCACACACAGTACATAAGCCAGTGCGTGCAGCAGCGAGGGGCGTGCACGTACATGCGCGTTGGCTGCTCTCTGAGCACGATGTCGATGGCCTGCAGCACCTCCTGCGGCACCTCCGTTTGCCGCCCCGCCAGGAACTCCATCAGCTGCGACACGCTCGCGCTCGCCGCCAGCCGCAGCACCACCTTGAACGACCGGTCGCGCGGCCGACTGGTGGGGGAGGGACGGGTGGGGGAGGGGAGCGAAGAAGCATGTATGGCGCAAGCGACATGAGGTACGACAGGCCGCGCAGTGTGCAAGCGCGCGTAGGGAACGACGTCAGCTTGCGCGCTGGGGCACGGGCGGGGAGGTTACCGCGACTGAGCTTCCCCTGCCGCCGGGGCCGGACGGTCGTCGGGCAGGGACACCTGAAACTCCTGCGCCTCGAACGGTAGCGCCGCGGCCGTGTACACGTTCTTGACGCCGTCGAAGGCCAGCAGACGATTCCCCAGATGCGACGAATGATACACGCGCGACAACTCGCGAATGACCTCCCGGTTGATCCGCTTGATCGCAATATCAGGGGAGATAACAACCTGCACGAGAAAATCGAGAATTAACTATATACTGAAGACAGAACATATTGGAATTCGCATAACGCAAGTTCGTTCGATTGTTGGAGCATAAAGCAAAAGCACGTTTTAACCGCTACCTGTCGCCGCTTCCTACAGTCCACTCACATCGTAATGATAAATGACGAGGTCCGCGATTTGAAGTGGAAAGTGGTTCACACGGATCTTCATGATCTGCCCGACAGTGCCCCCTCGGTCAGGGCGTCGCGGGAACGGAGAGGTGACGCCGGAGGGGCGAGACAGCGCGAGTCCAGTGAGCTGCGCCACGACTGCCTCGGCGGACGGCGCTGCGGGCGGTGGCAGAGGAGCGGGTGCAGGCGGTGGGACGGACGGCGCCGCCGCTGGGCGAGGAGCAGCAGGAGCCGGGGGTCCAGCGGCAAACGGTGCCGGAGGAGCGTACGGCGCAGCAGGCGGCTCGTAGTAGGCAGGCTGCGACACCGGCGGATGCGGCTCGTATGCAGGCGGCCCGCGACCGCCCCCTCCTCGACCCCCTCCGCCGCCCCCACGGCCTCTCGCGCCAAACCGGCCTCCCTGACCTCGGCCTTCCCCTTCTGGCGGATAGCCCCCACGACCACCAGCAGGCCCCCTGCCCCGACCTCTCATTTCCGCCCCCCCTCGGCGACCCCTCCCACGCCAACTGCCACTGTCTCCGGAACCAGACGACATGGCTCACTAAATCACTTAAATTTGAAATAACTGACAGGGTGGAACGACAGAGCAGAAGTGCGAGATCAAAGAAACGTATGCTGTGCCGATTCTCTAGGTGGAAAATGCCAGTTGGGAAGGAATGTGGAACGAATAAAAACTATCAAGACGTATTCGCAACACTCCAGTGTGAACCCTGACTCCGGAGCTGGTGCTGAGAGGACGGAGAAACCGAAGCTGCAAGGCCAGACCCAAGCCTCCATCCAAACCGATGAACGGGCCTAGCTCGAGGCTGTCCGCCTCATCCACTGAGAGGGGATCGTCGAGCAAATTTCATGCAGGGAAGGCATGTGATGTGACTCGAACGGTGTGGTTCGGCACATGAAACCAAACCTCGAAAAACTTCATGCATCGAACGTCCCATTATAAGATTCTCCTCGAGTGAATCTAAAAACAGCTCAGTTTAGCAATATAAGTTAACGGTATGTCTAGTGTTTGTCTAGCAGTTTATGTGTTGAGAACAAATGACCCCACCCACAACCGATTTTAATTGTCTGCTTGTTCTCGTCTGATGACTAGATTTCTGTCAACCAATCGAGCATCGATGTCAAAGCAATAACTTGGTTGTATTTGCAGCTTCCGTGACGCGACTGTATTTCTAAAGTAGCTAGTTCATGTCAGCGAGAGAAGTAATGACTAGAATAAGAGCATACAGTTGTTATATGTACCAAACATGTACCCTCTACAGAGTAACCAATCATAATATACAATGTGCACATGCAAACGTGTATGTGGAAATTGACACACCCCTTAGGTTATAAGGGATAGGCCCAAAGGAACAGAAAGCATCTATGGGTGGTACTACTAGGCCAGCTACAGAGAAAAAGGGCCACAAGGCCAGTGAGAGAGTATAGCTAAACAAAACAAACAAGTACATAGTACAGAGATCAAGAAACCAGCAAGTGAGGACCTACTAGGACAAGGCCAAGCTTGTGCAGAGCCGCTGATGATCACGAGGCTGGAGTGCCTTGGTGAAAATATCATCGGTGTTGGCCCTTGACGTCAAGTGTACTACGCATGCCTGGCCGCGCTGCTGCAGCTCACAAAGTAAGAAGTACCGCAGCTGGATGTGCTTCGCTCTGCCATCCAGTCTAGGCTCCTAACACATGAAGATCACGGCCCTGTTATCAGCGAAAAGGACCAAAGCAGATCTAGGCGGCTTACCTAAGTCATTGAGCAAGAACGTCAGATATCGGAGCTCCTGAGCAGCCATAGCACCATCGTAGATCTCGGCCTCACAGCTGGATTGTACCACTGACGACGAACGAGTCGACCTCCACGAGACAGTTTTGGTGCCAATACTTATGAAGTAACCCTGAGAGGACCGGAGAGTCTCAATATCGTCTACCTATGAAGCGGCAGTGTGTCCCGTAAGTGCAACCGACTGTCGTCCTCCATGCACAAACCCCATGCCTAATGTAGTACCCTCTTAGCAGCCGACCAATGCTCAGTACCCTCTTAGCAGCCGACCAATGCTCGAGTCGGTGTCTCCTAGTCGCAACAAAACGACCAAGGATGCTGAGAGGATACGCGAAATCTGGGTGAGTGCAGGTCATCAGGTAAATAAGGCACCCCACCAGCTCCACGTACAGACCACTGGGCTCAACAGGCTCGTCAGGGACAAGAGCTGAGAGCGTATGGCCAACAGCCAGAGGAGTGGGCTGTGCGGAGGAGAGCTGAAGGCAGAAGCGCTGAAGGATCTGCTGCACCATGTGTGACTAAGTCAGAGTGATGGTGCGCGCTGCTCTGTCCCTAGTGATTTGCAAGCAAAGATACCAGCGCATCTCACTTAGGTCAGTGCAAGTGTGTCTCCTCAGTAGCTCGCCCTTCACTGAGGTCAGCCCGACCCTGCTTGGAGTAGTGAAGACCAGGTCGTCAACATAGATGAGGACGTAGAACGGAGTCGAGCCAAAGCGAACGAAGGGAGAAGGGTCATCGGAGGAGGTGAGGAAGCTGAGATCAGCGAGAATACTGCGCAACGTGTCATGCCTCTCACGACGAGCCTGATGCAGACCGTAGACTGGTCGCCGAAGGATCCATGGAGTCCCAGGAGGGAACGACCCAGTGAAGCCAGGTGGACAGCGGAGCCAGATCTGCTCTTGCAGGCTGCCCTGGAGAAAGATAGTGGAGAATTCAAGTGAGTGAAGGTCGTAGTTGCGCTGTGCCGCGATGTGCAGCAATACCAGAAGAGTGCTCATCTTCGGGGTGGAGGAGAAGGTATGAAAGAAGTCCAGCCTTTCTTGCCGACTAAAGCCTCTCGCCGCATAGCGCGCCTTGAAGACAGGCGGCGCTCCAGGTGCACATGCCTCACTTAGGTGCCTATGGACCTCCAAGATGCCATCTCTGCGTCCATGGCTGCTATTCACTGAGAGGTCCAGGGTCCCGAGACTACCTCAGCGTGGGTGCGAGGGGTCGGGATCTCAAGGGCGTCTGGGTCAACCTCAGGGGCTAGTAGCATGGCACAGAGGTGAGGAGCAGCGGCCGCAAGGAAAGCCAGCTCAAACTGCCAAGAGTCGTATCACCCCTGACAAATGGAGGACGGGCAGGAGCACAGACAAACTGAGTGGCGTAGTCGCGGCAGGTGGAGGCGAAGTCAGCGACAGTAACGATAAGAACAGATGCAGACGGATGAGGAGTAGTAGGAACAAGAAAGAAAAGGACGCGAAGGACCGTAGGGGAAGCGACACGAATGAAGTCAGAGAACGGAGGAAAGGAGACAGAAATGGACGACGAAGGAGGTAACTGGAGAACAAGAGGCGGCGGAACACGAGGGGGGCGAGAACGGAGGGGCATAGAGTGAATATCGGGAATGTGAGACACGGGGCGAGCACAAGGGGGACGACTGATCCAGGTGTGGGAGTCAGGAGTCGGGTCAGGAGCACGAGGAGGAGACAGCTGTGAACGAGGAGGAGAACGAGCCGGAGACGAGTCCGGGGGAGGAAACGTCGGATTGTAGACTGGGAGAGACGTTGAGGCGAAGTGCAGCCATAGGCGGCGAAGACGGTTGTTGCGGCTGCTGCTATAATGGCTGCGGTGGACGTCCTACGCCCGCGACACCCCCTGAACCAGTACCTCCCATAGCAGGACCCCCTGAGCCAGCACCCCTAGCGTCAGCACCCCCAGAACCAGCACCCCAAAAACCCGCACTCTCAGAGCCAGCAACCCCTGCAGCAGCACCCCCAGAACCAGTACTCCCAGCAACAGCACTCCCAGAGTCTACAGCGACCGGCTGCGGTGGCAAAGAAGGCTCTTGCACCGACTGCGAGGACGACGCGAGTGACGGCAGGGACTGCGGCGAAGGAGGCGACACAGAAGGCGCACCCCCACGGACCGAGCCCCGAGAAGCAGCAGTCTCCCACACAGGTCCAACGAGGGAAAGGGGGTGACTTGCGACACACCAGACGGGGCAGGACGCGGGGGGAGGGGAGCAAGCAGAGATGTGGGACCAGGGGGAGAAGTGGGAGTGAGGAACATGGGAGGAGGGGGAACCGAAGTACCTCGGTGAGGGAAGCGAGTGTTGAACAGCCAGACTCGTCAAAAGTGACGTCATGAGAGTGAAAGAACTGGTGGGACGAGGGGTGGTAGAACAACCAGTGAGGAGCGTCGAGAGGGAAACCAAGGAAGACATGCACGAGAGTGCGAGATGAGAGCTTGTCCGCGCGAGTGTCGCGGACGTGAGCAAGGCAGCCCCAGATTCGAAACGCAGACGTGGTACCAGGGGACCCAGTCCATAGGAGGGTCGGTGGAACCTGCGGCCGTGAGACACGGAGCCACGGATTAGTTTGGAAAGCGGCGTAGCGGACTGCAAACAGCCACAGAAAATGGGGGGCGTGTAGGTCTGGGTGATGCCCTCCTCACGACAGAACTGGCCAAGGCGACCGGAGGCGAACTCGCCACACCGGTCAGAGTGCAGAAAAAACACAGGCTAGGCGCGCTGGGCGAGGACGGCCACTAGCCACAGGAGGAGAGCGCCAGGCACGTCGGCCTTCCGCTCCAAGGAAAACACAGTGGTTTAGCGGGAAAATTCATCCACAACTACCGGGAAGTAGCGCTCTCCGTGCGGCCCGGGGACGGAGGCAGGGCCCCAGACGTCCATGTGCAAGGTTTGAAGCGGCATAGTAGTGGGAGGAAACGAGGAGGAGTGAGGGGCGGCGCGCTGCCTGCCCTCGACACAAGGAGTGCACTGCGGCGCAGACGAGGGAGGGAGAGGGGAGGAAAGATGATAAGAGACCTGAGACAAAACGGTGCTGAGCTATGTGACAGAGACGTGGGAGGGAGGGGTTACCTAGACAGTGGAGCCACAGGAGTGACGGGTGGGTGAGCGATCGACACGAGCACAGCGCAGCTACCTGACCAGACGCAAGAACCTGGGTGGACGCACTGTGCAGCGTGAACAGACGTGGCGCGGGGCTCGTGAACGTGGCAAGTGGTGCCTCAGTGGTAGCGTCCGTACAGGTTGCAAACTGCTCGTGTCCAGGAAATGTGGTGGTGACACCGAGGTCTTGGAGACGGCTGACAACCACCAAGTTCTTGGAGAACGAGGGGATGTGCAGAATTGTAAGGGAGCTAGAGGGGTCTGCCACGCACGGGAGTGTAGTAGCGCTGCGTGCGATGACCGGTCCAGAGGAGGGGTCGGCCAAGGAGACTGCTACTATAGTCGGACACGTCGAGAGGGTGGTGCGGTCGCGAAAGAAGCACTGGGATGCGCCGGGGTCCAGCATAAAGAAGAGGGGCGCGTCGGCGGTCGACACATCTGGAAAAGCGACAGCAGAGGATCCTACACTAGAGTCAGCTAGAGATCCTAGCCAAGGCACACACGAGCAATAAGATCCAGCAATACTATGGTCATTAGCATATATGGCATGCACATAACACAGAGCACCTTCTATGTCTGACAT